ACCTGCCTCAGCTTCAGCCTCTGCCTCAGCCTGCTTCAGCCTCAGCCTCAGTCTGCCTTCAGCTTCGGCGTCAGCCTCAGCCTGCCTCAGCCTCAGCCTGCCGCAGCCTCAGCCTGCCCCAGCATCAGTCTGCCTTCAGCCTCAGCCGCAGCCTGCCTTAGCCTCAGCCTCAGCCTGCCTTAGCTTCAGCCTCAGCCTTAGCCTCAGTCTGCCTTTAGCCTAGGCCTCAGCCTCAGCCTGCCTCAGCCTCAGCCTGCATCAGCCTCAGCCTCAGCCTCAGTCTGCCTTCAACCTCGGCCTCAGCCTCAGCCTGCCGCAGCCTCACCTTGCATCAGCCTCGGCCTCAGCCTCAGCCTGCCTCAGCTTTAGCCTGCCTCAGCCTCAGTCTCAGCCTGCCTCTGTCTCAGCTTCAGCATGCTTCAGCCTCAGCCTCAGCTGCCGTCGGCCTCGGCCTCAGCCTTCATCAGCCTCAGCCTCAGCCTGCATCGGCCTCAGCCTCAGCCTCAGCCTCGCCTCAGCCTCAGCCTCAGCTTCAGCCTCAGCCTCAGCTTCATCCTGTCTCAGCCTCAGCCTGCTTCAGCCTCGGCCTCAGTCTGCTTGCAGACTCGGCCTCAGCCTCAGCCTGCCTCAGCCTGCCCCAGCCTCAGCCTCAGCCTCAGCCTGCCTCAGCCTCAGCTTGCCTCAGCCTCAGCCACAGCCTGCCTCAGCCTCAGCCTCAGCATCAGCCTGCTTCAGCCTCAGCCTCAGTCTGCATCAATCTCGGCCTCAGCCCCAGCCTGCCTCAGCCTCAGCCTGCCTCGGCCTCAGCCTCAGCCTCAGCCTGCCTCAGCATCCGCCTGCCTCAGCCTCAGCCTCAGCCTGCCTCAGCCTCAGTCTCAGCCTGCCTCTGCCTCAGCCTCAGCCTGCCTCAGCCTCAGCCTCAGCTGCCGTCGGCCTCGGCCTCAGCCTCAGCCTGCCTCAGCCTCAGCCTGCATCGGCCTCAGCCTCAGCCTCAGCCTCGTCTCAGCACCAACCTGCCTCAGCCTCCGCCTCAGCCTCATCCTGCCTCAGCCTCAGCCTGCTTCAGCCTCGGCCTCAGTCTGCTTGCAGACTCGGCCTCAGCCTCAGCCTGCCTCAGCCTGCCTCATCCTCAGCCTCAGCCTCAGCCTCAGCCTGCCTCAGCCTCAGCTTGCCCCAGCGTCAGCCACAGCCTGCCTCAGCCTCAGCATCAGCCTGCTTCAGCCTCAGCCTCAGTCTGCATCAACCTCGGCCTCAGCCCCAGCTTGCCTCAGCCTCAGCCTGCCTCAGCCTCAGCCTCAGCCTCAGCCTGCCTCAGCATCCGCCTGCCTCAGCCTCAGCCTCAGCCTGCCTCAGCCTCAGCCTCAGCCTTCCTCAGCCTCAGCATCAGTCTGCCTTCAGCCTCGGCCTCAGCCTGGGCCTCAGCCTGCTTCAGCCTCAGCCTCAGCCTGCCGTCGGCCTCGGCCTCAGCCGCAGGCTGCCTCAGCCTCAGCCTTCATCAGCCTCAGCCTCAGCCTCAGCCTGCCTCAGCATCAGCCCGCCTTCAGCCTCAGCCTCAGCCGGCCTCAGCCTCAGCCTCAGCCTGCTTCAGCCTCAGCCTCAATCTGCCGTCAGCCTCAGCCTCAACCTCAGCCTGCCTCAGCCTCAGCCTCAGCCTCAGCCTGCTTCAGCCTCAGCCTGCTTTAGCCTCAGCCTCAGCCTGCCTCAGCCTCAGCCTCAGCCGGCTCCAGCCTCAGCCTCATTCTGCCTTCAGCCTCGGCCTCAGCCTCAGCCTGCCTCTGCCTCAGCCTGCTTCAGCCTCAGCCTCTGCCTCTGCCTCTGCCTCAGCCTGCCTCAGCATCAGCCTGCCTCAGCCTCAGCGTCAGCCTGCCTCAGCGTCAGCCTCAGCCTCAGCCTGCTTCAGCCTCAGCCTCAGTCTGCCTTCAGCCTCGGCCTCAGCCTCAGCCTGCCTCAGCCTCAGCCTGCATCAGCCTCAGCTTCAGCTTCAGCCTGCCTCAGCATCCGCCTGCCTCAGCCTCAGTTCAGCCTGCCTCAGCCTCAGCCTCGGCCTCAGCCTCAGCCTGCTTCAGCCTCAGCCTCAGTCTGCCTTCAGCCTCGGCCTCAGCCTCAGCCTGCCTCAGCATCAGCCTGCGTCAGCCTCAGCCTCAGCCTGCATCAGCCTCAGCCTGCTTCAGCATCAGCCTCAGTCTACCTTCAGCCTCGGCCTCAGCCTCAGCTTGCCTCAGCCTCAGCCTGCATCAGCCTCAGCATCAGCCTGCCTCATCCTCAGCTTGCCTCAGCCTGAGCCTCAGCCTGCCCCAGCCTCAGCCTCAGCCTGCTTCAGCCTCAGCCTCAGTCTGCCTTCAGCCTCTGCCCCAGCCTCAGCCTCGGCCTCAGCCTAAGCCTGCCTCAGCCTCAGCCTGCATCAGCTTCAGCCTCAGCCTCAGCGTGCCTCAGCATCCGCCTGCCTCAGCCTCAGCTTCAGCCTGCTTCAGCCTCAGCCTCAGCCTGCTTCAGCCTCAGCCTCAGTCTGCCTTCAGCCTCGGCCTCAGCCTCAGCCTGCCTCAGCCTCAGCCTGCCTCAGCCTCAACATCAGCCTGCCTCAGCATTCAAAATGTGGCCCGGAGATGGAGTTCTGGGAATTCGAAGAACACGAAGTGGCCTACAGCTGTCGTCCTCCTCCTCCTCCTCCTCCTCTTCCTCCTCCTCCTCATTCTCCTCCTCCTCCTCCTCCTCCTCCTCCTCCTCCTCCTCATCCTCCTCCTCCTCCTCCTCCTCCTCCTCCTCTTCCTCCCTCTGAGCACGCCGTGGCTCTCGACAGGAGGCATCTCTCCTCCTCACTGCTCATGGGCTTTCGGATGCATCAGCCTGCCTCAGCGTCTGCCTCAGCCTGCCTCAGCCTCAGCTGCAGCCTCAGCCTCAGCTTCACTTGAGTTCCCCCATATCAGGCGTGGACCCGCGGCACCCCCGACTGACTTCCCCCATATCATGCGTGCACCCGCGGCCCCCCCGACTGAGTTCCCCCATATCAGGCAAGAGCCCGCGGCACCCGTCAACTGAGTTCCCCCATATCAGGCGTGGACCCGCGGCACCCCCGACTGAGTTCCCCCATATCAGGCGGGCACCCACGGCAGCCCCCGACTGAGTTCGCCAATATCAGGCGCGGATCCCCGGATTCCCCCGGATCCCGTCCGGATCCCGCCCAGACCCCCCCTGGGGAGTCATGATGCTTTCTTTTGACACTACTAGAAACCTATCAATCTTCGCTGTTAGGTAAAAGCGGCTATTTGTTGGTATGAATCGTCGCCCGTCGGTGTGGACGCAAGTGCCCGAGTCCATATAACGACGCATGTGCTGTAAGAACAACCGTGCCTGATTCTAGGCCAAGTCCCATCAATGTGTTTCGCCGTCGTTACTATGCGCGCTACGTAAATATGATACTATGTCGTCTTCCCAAAACTTTCGTTGCCCTCCGAGTCTGCGAAAAGCTGGTCGTGAGTCGTGTGCGCCGGGGTCCCAGGTCGCATTCAGACGAGTCCATCTCTCAATGTCGTGGTTGGTGATTCGTGCTTCAAACTTCCACTTGCGCTTGAAATATAACTTTGTCCATTCATCGAGCTGTGCACGCTCCGCAAGCGCCACAGCGGTGGATGTACTTCTTCGTAGGAAGTGGATCCACGATTCCATGCTGTCGCCGTCGTTGTCCTCGCTGTGGTTTTGGCTGCGTTGCTCGGTGCAGACGTCGGTGCTGGTGCCAGCGCTGGTGTCGATGTTTTTGCTCTCTGTGGTGGTGGTGATGCTGCTGCGGGCATCACTTGTCTGTCTTCTTTGCTCAGTCGAGGTTCGTCTCCTCGGCGTCCCAATTACAACATTTTCCGGTGCGCCCGTCGCAAAGTGATAAACATGTCTTTTGTCAAGGTCCAAGATGAGGACGCGTACATGACACAAGGTGTGATGGTGCCATTGAAGAGTTTCAATATGCGGTGTAATGGGAATCGTTTGCTTGTGAGTTCGTGTCGCAATTGGTCGAACTTCGCCCATCCGTTGGCGAGCCTGTTCCGTACCTCTTTGTCGTGGAACTCGTGAAACGTCAATTCTCTTTCCAGATAGTTTGTACTCTGGTCGTTTGGTAGTATGTCGATGTGCGCACCGTCCAGCATGATGTGTGCAATTGGCCTTCCCATCCTCCGGCTTATGTTCGTAAGCATCCTCCAGCAATTGTCCTTCCCATCCCGGGAGGAGGAGGAAGTGGAGGAGGAGAAGGAGGAGGAGGAGGGGGGGGGAGGGGGCCGACTCCGAGCTCCTGACCGATGTCCTCGGGGCGCTGGCCCCGCAAATGGCCCGCCTCCGAGAGTGGTTGACGACGAGGGGGGAGGGAGGGTGAGGGGAACGACGAGAAGGAGGGCCAGGAGGAGGATGAGAGAAGGCAGAAAGGGAGAAGGAGGAGGAGGAGGAGGAGGAGGGTAGATACGAGCAGGGGTGGATGTGGAGGAGGAGGTGGAGGAGGAGCAGGAGGAGGAGGAGGAGGAGGAGGAGGCGGAGGTGGGAGTGGAGGTGGAGGTGGAGGCGTTGCAGTGGCGTGAGGATGAGCAGTAAGGAGCAAGCGGGCGCTGACGATGACGACATCAGCGCCAGAATCGGCGAGGTGTTTCCTCGCCCTGGTCCCCCCGCCTCCTGCTCTCTTGCTGCTCGTCCACCGGGTACAGGCAGCGCAGTCAAGAAGGGGGGGGAGCAGCAGGCGGACGAGGAAGCAGGAGGCTGCGGCGGCGGAGGAGGGTGAGGAGGAAGTGGCGAGATGTCCACGAGCGCGGCGTGCATCACTGCTTGCAGCCAGGAGCGCCGCTGAGAGGAAAAAAGGTGCAGGAGGAGGACAACGAGGAGGGAGGTGAGGAGGCATAGGACGAGGGGGATGCTCGTCGTCCGCGTCTCCACCGTCGTCTTCCATTCCTTCGTCCTCGCTCTCCTCGTGCTGCTTCCCCGCGGGGCGTCGCGCCGCCACCTCTCGGCCGACGGCTCCGCCGCAGGGCACGGGATTCATCACCAGCGACTTCCTTCTGTGGAGGAGCGCCGGCCCGACACCTGCGAGGAGAGAGGCGCATTCGGGTGTTGCTAGAAGTGCGGCTCCATTTTGGAGCCCCTGGGGCCCTCTGGGCCTCGTGAGAGGGGGCCCTGGAGCTCAGTGGGCCCCGGAAACGACAGGGCCGTTTTTGTTACCGGTTCCGTTTTGCCGTTTTTTTGCCGGTTCCGACGCCGTTTTTTTACCGGTTCTGCCGCCGTTTTTGAACCGGTTCCGGCTCGTTCCGATCCTGGAGCCGTTTTTTTGCCGTTTCCGGTCGCCGTTTTTTTTGCCGTTTCCATTTTCAGTGGACATTTTTTTGGAAACGGTGAAAAAACGGCCCTGCCGTTTCCGGGGCCCACAAAGCCCTGGAGGCCGTCTGAGCCACCCCGAGAATCCTGGGGGTCCTTGAGGCCAGGGGGAACTTCTAGCAACACCCGAAGCATGGGCGCGGCCGGCATGTGGGGGTCATCGGGGAACATGGCATTGCCCGAGACGTGACCACAACCGTCTTTCCACGCGAGGCGATTGTGCATATGAACGCCAGGGTCCACGTGACAATGTACTCCGCTGCGCATCCCAGGAACCCACGGAAGTGGCGACAGTTGCGCAGTGGGCAGCCGGGGCTTGCGCTGCGGGGGTCACCGGGCAAAAACAAATGATGGGCTTGTTCTCCTCCGCCACCACCATCACTACAAGTTGGAAGGGGGAAGGAGGAGGAGGAGGAGGAGGAGGAGGAGGAGAAAGAGGGAGGAGGAGGAGGAGGAGGAGGAGGAGGAGGACCCCCCCTCCTACCGACGTATGCTGGCGGCAATGGGAAACGAGCCCACCAAACAAGCAGTGGCACAAGCATCATAGTATTTGGATGCCTGCGCGGATTGCTCGGAGCGGCGTTGGAGCCGCCCTGGCGGCGCCGCCCCTGGCGCGCTCTCCGCGCCGATCCGAGGAATTCGCGCGGACCTCCAACAGTTCACGTTTGTTGACATGTTCTTTGTTGTTTCTCGATCGAAAAACGTAAGATTCGAGCAGGCCGGAACTCGGGTTTGCCGACGTTTTGTTTGACGAGCGCATCCTGGATTTGGACGGTCCGGTTTTCGTGGGATGCTTGCAGCGGGAGTTCGCGTCACATTTCAAATCAGGTCTTGTCATTTGCAGGATGGCCCCGTCAGGCCAACCCGAGTCCCCCGTACCCGAGTCTTACGTCTCCCCAGCTCTTCTTGCTATCGCTCGGACGTGTGCACTTTTTCTCGGCGGGGATTATTAAGGAGCATCCTGGATCATCCTGCGAAAAAGCCACGCACGAAACCGAAAAGAACACCGGGAATGGACGTCCGAGCGAGGGCCGGTCTTAGGTCAGCGCTGACAGGGGTCAGCCAGTCATCTCTGGGGCCAATTTTCTATCGTTCCCGCCCTCCGCGTGGCGCGGTCGTGGGAGCTACTGAGCGGCGGGCTTCGCTTCGCGGCGGGGCCGTGGCCGACCTGGGGATGCGCCGACCCAGGTTCGAGGCGCCCTCGGTCAAGATCACCCTTGTCTCGTGCGCTGCCCGAGGTGGCCCTGGCCCCGGGTGGCCCCACTTTGCCCAGCTTGGCATCGCTCGGACGTGTGCATGTTCCCTTCGGCGAGGACAATCGAGGAGCACCCTGGACCATCGAGCAACGACAGGCACGCACGAAACCGAAAAAAAAAACACGGGAAATGGACGCCCGAGCGACGGCAAGCAGAGAGAGGTGCAGTGCAGATGGCTTCTCCGGGACGCTCCCCGCAGAGGGCCCCGGAGGTGCCAGAGCGGCGAGAACAGCTGGGGACCCCCCTCGGCCAGGGCCACTCTCAGCAGCACCCGACCACCTTGCGCAGCTCCGCCGCCCTCCGCTCCGGCGCCCCGTCGCCGGGGGCGGTCGGGTCCCCTACTCAGGCCGCGCTTAGGCCGCGCTTAGGCCGCGCAACCACTGTCACTCCTGCCCAGGCTGCCCCTGCGTGAAGCCGAATCTGCCCTCTCCTCCTCCTCCTCCCTCTCCTCCTCCTCCTCCTCCTCCTCATCCTCCTCCTCCTCCTCCTCCTTGGTGCTGCGCGTGCTCGTCCTTTTTCCTGCTCGTTCTCTCTGCTCGTCCGCTGCTCTGCGCACTCTTCTCGATGTGGGCGTGCCTCCTCCTCCTCCTCCTCCTCCTCCTCCTCCCTCCCGCCTCCGTCTAAGCCCGAGTGGTGCGCCTGAGGCGTCGCGGTGGCTGACCATCGTCCTTCAGAGCGCTGGCCGGAGACGTGTTGTCGCCTCAATGTCTCGTATTCTCGTATCTTGGCATCGATCGGACGTGTGCATGTTTCTTTCGGCGAGGACCATCGAGGAGCATCCTTGATCATTTGGCGAAAGAACCACGCACGAAACCAAAAAACAACACAGGGAATGGACGTCCGAGCGATGGCAGGGTATCCTTCCTCCCGTCACCTCCTTTCTGTTGGGTGTCGGCATGCAGTTTGACTGCATTGGGGCGGTGTCCTTCCCGTGCGCTTGGGAGCGCGAGGGACTGCGAACGCTCGGCCTCGTTCGCTGTGCTCTTTCGTATTCGGAGCTTCTCTTCACTCCTCCTCTACCCTGCTTCCCGTTCTCTCTGATCAGTGCCCTCCCCTCTGTACTCTTGACTTGCATTCTGCTCATCACTCGCAACAGTCCACCCTGCACCGTACTCTCGCCTCTGTACCATCTGTTCCCTGCATTCCAAATGATCTGCCCCCTTCGGAACGATCAGAACACTGGAACCACGCGCCTATGTTGAAGACATGTTGGAGGCCATTTGGCACCAGCCTAGACCAGCTCGCGCCGTCTTTCCAGGCCATTTTGGGTTGTCTGATGCAGCTTTTGAGTTTTGAAAGGCCTACTTGGACGCTTTTCCGCGTCGAAACGCCCCCGTCCGTTTCCCCAGGGGGGGGGGCCATCAACGGCAGACCAGCACAGAAGACCAGCGCGGCAGACCACCACGGCAGATAAGCATGGCCGACCAGCGCGGCATATGTCACGGCAGACCAGCGCGGCAGACCAGCACTTGGCTGACCAGCGTTGCAGACCGGCGGGGCGTCGGACCCTGCGCTTCTCGCAATCTCAGGGGGAAGTGTCACCGCTTGCCGCGGCCATGGCCCAGTCGGACAGGCACAGGACTACACTTTGGGCGAGTGGATTAGATTCTTGCGCGGATTCCCACATTCCAAACTTACTTTTGCGACGTCGTCTTACGTCTTGGTTCGCCCGCCATTCGAGGGGGCCGATCGCGTCTGTCGGATTTGCCAGGGCCTCGACGTCGCTTGCCAGTGTCAGTGTGGAATCAAGACTTGCGCCTCCCGAGTGGATTTGAGGATGAGCGCGAGGTGAATATTCCAGGTGCGGGGGGGCGCGGGCGTTTTCCGCCGCGCAGGGGCCAGGGGCAACTGGGAAACGCTCGGGGAAGTGGAGGTCGGCATGTAGAGGAAGAGCGGGGGAGGGGGGGGGGCAAAGCAGCGGGCGGGGATGGGGAACATAGTGACCAGGCGGGATGCTCTGATAGGGGGAACGATGTGGGCGGAGGCCGCAGTTGAAATTCCTTCGGATAGCCCTGGGACGTTCAGACACCTCCCCCCGGGGGCCTGCATGGGGTTCAGCGGCCCTTGCCTGGCTCTGCGGGCGGGGCGCGGCGACGCACAAGGCCCGTGCCCCGGCCCTTTCGCTAGGTGCCGGTCTGCGCGTGCTCGCCCCGCGCGAGACATCCAGCGCGTTCAGAACGACATGCGGCCAGGCATTAGGCATAGTTCTGCACGTGCTGGTTTCGCCGGAGACATCCTCACCAAACGGAACACTTCTAGAACTACGCCTAACCAGCGGGGCAGGGCGCGCGTCGGGCGTCACCGCTCGCGCTCCCAACGCGTGCCGCGCCCAGGCCGCTAAGTGCCGTCCCGTGCGTGCCCCCTTCTCGCGAAGCATCGGCTGCCCGAGCCGCCCGTCGCCGAGGCCCCGCCCCCTGGGTCGCTTCCCACCGACGTCCCACATCCCTTAGTTCAGCGAAGCCAGCCGCATGCTTGGGGGCTTCGACCTCGCGCAGCCCGCTTCCCTCCCCCGCCTGTGCCCCAGCAGCAAATTTGCGATCCGATCCCCCGCGTTTTCGAGTTCTTCTTCGCGCTGGATTCCCCGCCCGAGGCAGAAACGCATGTTCGCGCCATGATTTTTCCTTGCGGCTGCCACCAAGCCTCTCCGTGAAACGTGGTGATCGCTTCCACGCTCGGCGCGCAACGTCGTCGGCTCGACCGTCGCCTTCCATCGCAGGTCGCGAGGCGGCGTCCGTCCACCCAGACCGACCGACGCGCCAAGTCGAATTATGATTGCCACCCTTGGTCCCCGCAACAAGGTGCACTTTTGCTGTGTGTAGTTAGTTGTGGATGTTCGATCCAGGCAACGGCTGCGGCCCTGCCCCTGCGGGGAGGCGGGCGCGCGCTACTGGCGGCGATGGGGCCGCTCGCGCATGCCGCGGCGGTCGGCGCAGGTGCTGGCAGCGGCGGCCGCCAGGCGTCGGCGGCCGCGGCGGCGGCGGCCACCCTCTCCCGCGTCGGGGCGCTTGCCGAGGCAGGCAGCGATATCGGCCATATCGACGAAGAGGCGACAATGCGCGAGGGGCCCGCGCGGCCGCGCCCGCGGCTTCACGTGGCCGCTGGGCGCGAAGGGACGCTGGCCCAGCCCTCGGGGGCCCGCCGCCACTGGGCGACGCGCGCGGGCTTTCCGCGACGGCGGTGGAGGCCCAGCGGCGCGTCCGCGGGGCGCGCGCGCGAGGCCGCCGCCCTTCGAGCACCGCTCGGCGAGTCTTATGCCGCCATGGGCGCCGTCGTCGAGGAGTGCGCGCCCGACGCGGACTTGGGGGTCGAGAAGGGCCGCGCGCTGGAGGCGTTCGCTGCCGCCTGGGCGGCCGCTGCCGCCCTTCGGCGCGGAGATTCCGCCGAGGGCCTGCAGCTCCCGTAGGCAGCGCGGCCGCCTTTCGAGGGCGCGGCCGCTGTCTCCGAGCGAGCGGCGGAGGGCGAGGTGCCTGAGGCCGCGGCGGCGCGTGCGCCGCTGGAGTGCAGGGCTGCGCACCGGGTGCCCTTCGCGCCGCTCCTTGACGCCAGGCCGCGCCCGGGCCGAGAAGGTCTCTGAGGGCGGCGTCGCGCGCGCGGGGGCGGGCGCTGGAAGTGATGGCGTTGACGGGGTCTTTTGTTGCTCTGGAGATTGGCATTAAATGGCATTCATGAGGCTCTCGCCTTGTGCTTCTGCTGCCCGCTGGCTTCGCTGTCTCCTTGCGCTCTTGCGCCCTACTTGCAGTTGTGCCTCTGGGCTGAGCGGTCGATTAGTGCGGGGGGCCCCGGGGGTCTGGCCCCCCGTGCCCCAGTGGCCCGCTGAGCCCTTGCGCCCGCTGGCAGCCTGGCGTCTCGGGATGCGGCTCTGGGTCTGTCGGCGTCCCCGACGGCCCAGGTCATAGGTCATGTCTGGGGTTGCGTCGGCCTGGGGGGCCCGAAGTCCTGCCCTAGATGGCGGGCGGCCCCCCTTCCGCCGCGCCCTGGCCCTAAGCCCCCCCCCTTTTGTCTTCTTCTTGGGAGGCGCCCGGCCCCCCCTCGCCTTCGAGACCCAGGCTGTCGCGCGCGCGCGCGTTCGGCAGACCTGCGCGATCCAGACCAAAGCGGCAGACCAGCACGGCTGGTCAGCGCGAGAGCGCAGCGCGGCAGACCAGCGCGGCAATCCTGCGCGGCAGACCAGCGCGGCAAACCAACAATGCAGACCAGTTCGGCATATCCGGCAGACCAACGCGGCAGATGCCACGGCGGACCACCGTGGAATACCAGCGCGGCAGACCCATCCGCGCCAGCGTCGAGGTGACCGACGAGGAGGCGGCAGTGCGCGATGGGGCTCGCGCGGCCGCGCCCGCGGCTTCACGCGGCCGCTGGGCGCGGGGGGGCGCTGGCCCTGCCCTCGGGGGCCTGCCGCGCGTTCCGCCGCTGGGTGACGCGCGCGGGCTTCGGGGGAGGGGCGGGGCTGGCGCCCGCGACGGCGGTGGACGCCTAGCGGCGCGCCCGCGGGACGCGCGAGCAACGCCGCCGCGGCGATGGGGCAGGAGCCGCCGCCCGCGGCCGCGCAGCACAGGCGGCATCTCCGACCTGGAGGCGGCGCGACACGCCAGCAGCTCGGAGACGGCGTCGGCGGACTCGGAGCGCGATCGCAGGGGCGCGCGCTACACTCAGAGCGTGAATCACCTACCCCGCTTTCGCTTCCAGGCAAAACCAAGCCATACCACGCGCCTCCTCGTCAAGCGGCCTGACCGGTACAGGATGCAATTTGGCATCGCTTGGTATATCTTGGAAGCGAGGATGGTCAAAAGCGAGGTAGGTTTGTTTTCCCCCTATACACGGCGTTGGCGAAGGTGCACGAGTTCCATCCCGCCGCGGGGCTTCCCTGCGAGGCAGCGACGCAGATGCCGCTCGCGGACCGCGCGGCCGAGGGGCCGCGCGAGTCGTTCTGCGAGCGCGGCGTCGACGGCGGGGCATCGCGCGGCGAGCCCACGGAGGCCGCCGCGGATGCCGCCCTCGAGGAGTGCGCGCCCGACGCGGACACGGGGATCGAGAGGGGCCGTACGCTGGAGGCGCTCGCTGCTGCCCAAACAACCATTGCCGCCCCTCTTCGCGGAGACTTCGGCAGGGGCCTGCAGCTCCCGCTGGCAGCGCGGTCGCCTTTTGAGGGCGCGGCCGCTGTCTCCGAGCGAGCGGTGGGGGACGAGATGGCCGAGGCCGTGGCGGAGCGCGTGCCGCTGGAGCGCAGGGCTGCACAACGGGCACCACTCGCACCGTCCTTCGACGCTGGCCCGCGCCCAGGCTGAGAGGGCCTCCGAGGGCGGCGTCGTGCGCGCGGGAATGGGCGCTGGAAGTGATGGCGTTGACGGGGTCTCCTGTTGCTCTGGAGATTGGCATTGAATGGCATTCATGAGGCTCCTGCCTTGTGCTCCTGCTGCCCGCTGTCTTCTTGCGCTCTTGCGCCTCTGGGCTGTGCGGTCGATTCGTGTGGGGGGCCCCGGGGGTCTGGCCCCTCCGTGGCCCTGCTGAGCCTATGCGCCCGCTGGCAGCCTGGCGTCTCGGGATGCGGCTCTGGGTCTGCCGGTGTCCCCGACGGCCCTTGTCATGTCTGGGGTTGCGTCGGCTTGGGGGGCCCGAAGTCCTGCCCTAGGTGGCGGGCGGCCCCCCTTCCGCCGTGCCCTGGCCGCACATGCCCCCCCCCCCTTTTGTATTCTCCATGGAGACATCCGCGCGCGCATTCGGCGGGTCACCGCGATCGGCCAGCCGACGCGAGAGCACAGCGCGGCAGACCAGCACGGCAAACCAGCACGACAAACCAGCGCGGCAGACCAACGACGCAGACCACTCCGGCAGAGACCTGGTCGGCAGACGAACACGGCAGACAAGCAATGATGACCAGCGTTTCAGACCAACACGGTAGCTTATCGTGGTAGACGTGCTCGGTGGATCAGCATGGCAGACCAGCACGGCAGACCAGCACGGCACGCCAGCACGCCGGACCAGCATGGCAGACCAGGTCGGCCGGCGAGTTGTGCAGACCAGCGCGGCAGACCAGCATGGCACACCACGGCAAACCAGCACGGCGCACAAGCACGGCACACCAGCACGGCATGCAGTTGGGCAGACCAGCGTATCAGACCAGCCATCGTTTTCAGCGTTCTCGACGAGACGTTCCGTCAAGTTTCAAAGCACAACGACGTTCCCTGTTCTTATCTAGTCGGAATTTGGGAAGATGACCGCATCCTTCGAGACATCCTCAAAACATCGCTTCCAGAGAGGAGTCCGAACCAGCATGTTCTTGGAATTGCTCTCGGAGGGCTTCAAGACGACCTGAAAGCTCCCGCAGGCCTCCCAGGGAACCCCACAAGCGCCCCGATGGACTCCGCAAAACGCACCCAAAAGGTCCCCCAGAACGCCCGAACAGGCCCTGGAACTGCGCAGAAGGGCCCCCGAACGGCCCATGACAATTCATCATGGCGTTAGGATGGCTTGAGCAAACCCCCGCGCAACCCTAACACATGCCCAGACAGCCCACTAATATCCTAGTAGCTCCTAGCTGGACCCCGGCAGGCCCCCAAGTGGCCCCCTGGCTGTCTCAAATATCCGAACACCGCGGATAACAAATCATGCCCCTTTCCACCTTTGAGAGTCCACCGCGCCCATTGTGGCACACCCCTCACAAGTGTAGTGGCCTCACAGGGAGCCCAACCGAAACCCCAAATGCCAGAATTAGCATGCGGCCACCGCACCCACACCCCTCATACGTTTGATAGCCCCCATAAAGGGGCTCCTCCGACTGCGGTGCATATATCGACGGTATTCACAACTGCATATTGTTGGGTCATTCGCCAGGCTAATTTCTTATAGCAAACACACACCACCGGAAACGGACCACCATGCGATCTTACACATGTGATGTAGAACGCGGTATCAAAAACAATGTTTTTACAATTTAGAACAGAAGTGTACGGAATCAGGTTTGGGGGGGACAGTTGGTCACGAACGTGTTGCAGGGCTAGCTCGTCGTCAACGTCGTCGTCGTCGTCGCCGTCGCCTTCGTGCGACGGCTTCCTTTTTCCTCGTCATACATCCCCTGTACGACTTGCCAGGACAAGTCGTTCATTATCCCTCCGAGACCCCGAATTTTCTGACCCCCCGGGTGTCATTAGGGGCGTCTGGTTACCCCGAAACGGCCCCAACAGCCCCCAGGATAGTTTCGAACTAGCACAAGGACCACTCTCCTCTTGGACTTACTTTTCGTCGGGCTCCATACCGTCCTTCTTCGTCGTCGTCGTCCTTCTTCTTGTCTTCTTCTTCTGAAATCTCTTTTTGTCCCTCTTCATTTTACTATTCCTTTTGCGTGTATGATCCTCCTCTTCCGCTTTGCTGATTCTTCGTATTTGTCCTTCTTCATCTATTCCTCTTCGTCCTCGTGCACATGGTGGTTGCCGCCGTCCTCGTCATCGTGGAACTGATCCTGGAGAGAGCGTGTCCTCGTCTCTCGGCTGAGGTCCTTGTTAAAACAAATCCTGGTCGTCCTTGCGCTTGTCCGCCTACTCGGTGTCCTTGTGCTCCCCTCGCTGCCCTCCCCGACATCCACGCTGTCATCCTCGATTTCCGCCGCCTTGTCGTCGCCATCACCCTTTTCTTCGCTTCCCCCAACGAGCCCAATGAACAAGATTTGGCGCTTCCCGTTCTTGTCTGAGTGGGTTGCTTCTCTCTCCTATTCACTACCTCTTCCTCACCTCACCCCCTGTCCTCCTCAATCGTGAGCCGTTCCACGCTGCACGCACCATCCCTCGTGAGGAAGATAGACAAGACCACAAAGTTGGCAGGGGAAGGCACTGACATAGTGATGTTCTGCGAAGGCCGGCCGTTCTGATCCCACGTGTGGGTGAATGTTTTGACGAGGTGAGAACACGACGAGATAAGGGATCTCCATTGGAGATGCGCAGGGTGCTGCCTATTTGCAGGCGTAGTCTCCCGAGATGGTGTCATGCCCATCGGCCCGATGCTATGGCTGTGCCTTCTGTTGTTGCGGTTTATCTCTGATACCCTTGAGGATGAGCAGCACACAGACGTCTGCGTCGTGCTGGTTTTGTACAGTCAACCCGCACAATAAGGATGGGCATCCTCCCCAAGTGTACCCTTGCATCTTTGCCTTCTCGGTCCATCCTTGGCCACTTTCGTTGGCCGCGCTCCGCTCGAACAGCTTTTAAATGAGCGTCAAAGGCCCTTGCATACTTACCGCGCGTCCTCATGGTACGGGTTGACTCCCACAGGCTTGGCAGCTGGGGCGCCCATCCAACGAGCTCCTTGGCCGACCCAGCGACATGGTGTATCCATCGATCAGGCGCCTCCCAGAGGCCTAGCAGGGGCCAGGCAACGCCCAGCCTCGCCCAGCGAGTGGGCCTCGGGGGATCAAAGCTTGGGAACAACTGGGCGTCACGATCTCTCCTTGGCGCCAGCGCGGCATTCATTCACTGGTATGGAAGTGTGCGTAGAAAGACTTCACCTCAACATTGATGCGTGGTGTCTGAGATGTCCCGCTTGAGCCACCCGAGTAGCGCTTGGGTGAAGCAACGTGAGCAGGAGAAGGGCGTGGCAGAGAAGGGGGGAGAGGAGGAACACGAGGGGGAGGGATGATCGACTGGGGGGGAGGAAGGAGACAGAGGCGATGGCGGAGGGAGGAGAAGGAGGAGGAGGCAGCGGACGACGGGACGAGGATTGGGAGGATCTATTGGCCGCTTCCCCCTCCTCCCCTCCTCCTGAATGCCTCCCTTCCCTTTGCTCCTCTTTGCCCTCTTCCTCCTAAAGCGTGTCCTCATCCGATCGATGTCCTCCTCCGTTCTCTGTCTTCCTCTTCCTCCTTCCTCCCCTCCTCCCACCTTCCTGCTCCTCTCCTTCCCTCCGTCCTCTGTCCTCCTGCGTCCTGTGTCCTCCTGCTTTCTCTGTTCTCCTGTGTCCTCCTGGTCGTCCTTCCTCCCTCCCTCCTTCGCTCCTCGTCCTCCTCCTCCTCCTCCCTTTCCTTCCTACTTCCTGCCTCCCACCCCCCTGCCTCCCTCTTCCCGTCTCATCTCCCTTACCCCTCCTCGCTCATCACTCATTCCTCGTCTTCCTCGTCCCTCTCCTCCTCCAGGCTGGTTCCTCTGCGCGACGGCAGCCGTGCCGCGCCCGCCTGGCCCGTCATAGAGGACCCCCCCAGCGCGGGGAGATGCGCGCATTGGTACGGGACGGCGCGGGCGGAGGCGAAGCAGCAGCCCACAGGGAGGACTGCGCGCCAACGCCGAGCTCTTCGTGACCCGCGGCGTGTTGTGGGAGTTGGTCGAGCAGCTCGCCCGTTCGCGGACAGCCGCAGGGTCGTGGCGTGGTCGGCAGGGGAGGCAGGCCTGCGCGGCAGGGGACTGCGAGAAGGGCGGCCGGCGGTGGCACCCCGCGAGCGCACGCGGAGCGACGGGCAGTGGCAGCCTTCGGCGGATGGGAGCGGCACGTGCGAGAAGGACGAGAACCGAGAGTGCGAGAACGACGGGCAGTAGTTGCCCCAAGAGGACGGGCAGTGGCAGCCCCAAGAGGACGGGGAGTGGCTGCCTCGAGGGGACGGGCAGTGGCGGCTCCACGAAAATGGAGACGCTGCAGTCAGTGGCAGTGGCAGGGCAGTGGCAGGTGAGGGGGGAACGGGCCGTACGTGCGACGAGGACGGGAAGTGCAGCCTCATGCGGGTGATTAGGACAGGCAGTGGCAGCTATAATTCAAGGGGGGCTGCATGCGAGCAGGACGGGCAGTGGTCGCTTCAAGAGGTCTAGGATCGTGAGTGCGAGAAGCACTGGCAGTGGCAGCTTCCAGCAGGCGGGCAATGGCAGCCTCAAGATGCGGGACCCTGCGTGTTCAAGCAGTAAGGTCAGTGGCAGCCCCACGGGGACCGGCCAGGCGGGGGCGAAGAGGTCGGGCAGTGGCAGCGACGCGCGGGAAGCCCGTATATGAGGATCGGGCAAGAGGCCAAGTTGGCGCTCAATTCTTCTAACCTACCAGTGCAGGGAAAAAATGCAGGTGCCCAATGCCACCAGCTGTAGTGGCAGTGGCACCAGACAAGCGGCGACCAGTACGTGCGACAGGGACGGGCAGGGACAGCGGCTGGCTGTAGATCGTCCGCGTGAAAAGGCTGGGTCTTGGTAGTTCCATGCGGAAGGGTGCGGGCCTGGCATGGGGGGCCCCAGCGGCGAAACCGCGGCGCGAGGGGTCCCAGCGTCGCCACCAGTAGGCCGGCAGTGCCAGTAGGGGACGAAGCACGATCCAGACGATGTCAACTTCAGTGTGGGGCAAAATGGGCTCCTCAGGGGCGGGGACGTGCAGGAGATCTGGCTCGAGCAGCGGTGGCAACTGATGGTCGCCGCCACGCTGCTGTGGAAGCTGGACTCGTACACCGACATAGCCTTCATGTTTGTTGCGCGGGACTGCGGTTCGTCGCTCTGGTGGGCCTCGCTGGCGACGTGCGGCTTCGTCGTAATCTTCGGCCAGCTCTTCCTCAGCACCAGCTGCTCCTGCAGGGACTGCGAGCGCGAGCTGCCCCCGTCCTTCGGGTTTGTCCTGCTCGACTTCAAGCTGGTGAACCACGCGGTGAAGCAGGTGTTGCCGTTCGACCCCGATGCCTCGGATCTGCCAGTCGCGAGGCCGGTGACGTTGCGGACCGTCGCTCACCTGCTCAGTTTGCTGAAGATCATGGGAGATATCGCCCAGGTCTCCATTCAGCTCATATATTATAAGAACGCGGAGGCGCCGCATGCGTTTGTCGTCTTGTCCATCCTCGCCAACGTGCTGCACGGCACCCTCGCCTGCGGCACCTTGGGGCAGGAGTGGTTGCAGGACGAGCTGGCCACGCAGAGCTCTGGCCTCCAGACCGGCACGGCCCTGCGCCCGATGTCCCCGCTGCCCTCGACGCTTCTGATGAGGGACGACGTGCTGCAGGTGCAGTTGCAGGGCGCCTCCGTCAAAGGCAGAGGGCAGGCCGCGAGCGGCGCTGCTCGCCAGGCTTCCCTGCACGGGGCCACCGACCCGGCCCCGCGGAACGGGGCCGCCGGGAGCCGGCGGAGGAGGAGCCCCAGCCCCCCCGCGGAGATGTCGCTGCTGGAGGACCAGGACGGCGAGCCGATGGCGGACCTCCTGCTGTGAGGCCGCGGCTCCGCTCAGCGGACAGTCCACCAGGACGTGCTCCTGCCGCGGCTCGGTGCGCCGTGCTGGGGATCGCCGGTGATGGGGGCCGCCTCGTGCCAAGGCCGCGCCGAAGTATTTGTAGTCAAGGAGGCTAGCTTCTTGAGTATCCCGTACGCCTCCACCCACTATTCCTCTGTAGCATGCACCGCTCTAGGGCTGGTGTGCCAATCTGGGCATCACCTGGCTTCTGACACAGAAGCGCTCGAGAATGCACAGTTTCCGAGGCACGTGTAGGAGTTCCCCGTTGGCTTGGCTGCGGCGTGTAAAAAAAACTTATGTGTGGAGGCGGACGAAGGGCTGAGACGCCAGAGGCGAAGCTGGAGCCCAACTACACGAGTTACAGCACCTGCAGAATAGGTGACGTCCGCAGGGCAATGTGGAGGGCCCGTGTTGAGATCGCCCCGAAGTGGCCGGCAGGCGGCGAAGCGGTAGAGCCCGACGCCGTCAGGTACAGTGCAGGCTTATGGGACGCGGAAGACATCCACGGAGAGTTGGGCCCCCTCCTAGAGGCGGACTCTAAGAAAGTGGAGGGATGTTACCAGCGATATCTCCACCCAGGCGTAAGGAAACCGGCGCGTTCACCATCCAGGGATCAAAGGGAAGCCCTCCAGACCGACCAGGACAGATTTCGACAAGATGATCCCAGTCAAGGCGAGGCTAGAGCCACTCGCCTTTATCTCGATTCGGCGCGTGTGCGAAGGAGGAGGGGCGCCCGAGTCCGCGCCCCGCCGCCGGGGGTAGGGCGCGCCCGCCGCCACTCAACGCGCGCGGGGCGCACGCGCGAGGCTGGAAACCACCACGTGACAGCCCGAAGGGCCTGCGAAAGGTTCCGATTGTCCTCCTATCGTTTCTTCTTCTCTTCTCTCCCTCCTCCTCTTCCTCCTCCTCCTCCTCCTCATTCTCCGTCTCCTCCTTCCCCATAACCCATTAATCCCCCTCTCCTTCCTCTTCTCTCCCCCATCGCCCCCGCCGGAAACGGATGGTACCACGAGCTATGAAGCGATTGATTCTACAGCATATCCATCCCAATGTTGACCTCCATGCTACCTCATCGAAAACGCCCATGGCGAATCACCGCCCCCCCCCCTTTTTTTTCGAATACGCCTATATGGCCAAACGATTGGGCAAAGTTTGGCCACGCGGTTAGACAATGAGTCCCCAAGCTGTGCTGGAAACCTTTTCGGGGAACACGGGGGAGGAAGAGGAACATGAGGAGCGGGAGGAGCAAGGAAGAGGAGAAGGATGAGGAGAGTTTATGGAAGGTTCGTGGATCATTATCAGGGCCTCCTGGGAGTTTCCTGGGGGCTTCTTGGGGGCCTTTTTAGGGTTTCTGGGGGGCCTTGGGAGGTACTCGCGGCGACATGCTGTTTGTAGTCTTGCGGCTTTCCTGGCCCATCTGGCACCGTCGGAAGCTGTCTTGTGGGTTTTTCTGGGCCGTTTGGGGGCCCTCTAAGGGCGTTTCAGGGTCATCTTGAAGGCCATCCTGGGCGTCTTGGGGCCTCTTGGGCCGTCTCGGGGCTGTATTGGGGGCCTTTTGGGCAATCTTGGGGCGATTTCAGGGGCCTCTTGCGCCGTCTTGGGCTGTCATATGGCCGTTGTGGAGCAAATGCTAACATCATGATCTGGGTCTCTCCATGCCGAATCCTTCGTGGAGCCGCGTGCAGGTGGCGGTTACCTTGGGCTCTCTTGTGGCCGTCTTTCCCGTGTTGGAGGCGTTTTGGAGGCCACCGAGGGCCATTCTGGCCATGTTGGGGGCGATTTGGCCAACTAGGGAGGATTTTCCTGGACTTGGTGGGTGGTCGGCAGGCTGGACCTAGACGCCACAGGGAGGTCTTCAGAGAGGAAGCGAACACCAGCCAAGCGTCTGGCACGGCGCGCAGTCTTGTGGCGAGACCACACGTGGCGGCGGATCGAACACGCTTGCGGCGAAACACCGCCGGCCCCTGCCTTTGGGAGTCGCCCAGGCCGAGCGTGTTGGCCAGAGGTCTGCCAAGCTACCGGACCATGCATGTGTTCCCCCAGCTGTTTTGGAAACCCTTCGGGGAACATTTGGGTCAGGATGGCGGGGAAGATCAGGAGGAGGAGAAGGAGGAGGAGGGGCATCTTGAGAGCCTCTGGGGGCTCTTTTGGGGTCTCCTGGGAGCTTCCTGGGAGCCTCTTGGAGGCATCTTGGGGGCCTCCCTGGGCCTCTTGGGGACCTATTGGGGCTTCTTCTTGGGGGCCTCTTTGCTCGTTTCAGTGGGGTTCCTGGCCCGTCTGACGCCGTCGGAAGCCGTCTCGTCGTGGGGGCCTTTTTGGGCTGACTCCGGGCCTTCTTGGGGTACTCCAGGGCTGTTTGGGAGACCATCGTGGGCGTCTCGGAGGCCTCTTGGGCCTTCTTGGGGCCCTCTTGAGGCCATTGGGCCGCAAGGGCGGTCCTGGGGGCATCTAGGAGGCCTTTTGCTTCGAGCGATCCCCACCGAAATCTTACGCGTTCGTTCCCGACGGCGCGCGGTCGCCTAATTGGTCGACAACTGCCGTATATGGATTTGAAAGCGATTCAACCGAGTTCCATGTAGTCACGTTCTTTAATGTTCTGCTCTATTATTTCCTGTTCTGTTCTCGACGAGCGGGCGTGACGTAGTGATGCTTGTGACGTTATGTGGGTCGTCTGTTATGGTGTTCCGTTTCATTTTTGTATTTCTCTTATGATTGAGAATGTTTTGCGATGCTCATCTGTGCCACCATATGACATAAGACGTTATGGCATGGTCTGCTCTGTGGCACTCTTATATGGCATTGTATGTTATGTTAGGCTATGTTGGGGGGTGAGATCGCAGTGAAACGGAGACCCCCCACCGGGAAATCTGTTTCGGTTTCATGCTCGTGTCGTGCGTGCGAGCGAGGCGAAGCTGCGCGTGATCCTCCTGTAGCTAGGCCGAAGTAGGAGCGAAGGTCCGTTTCCCGTCCGCCGGTGGCCGAGAGATGTCCCAGTTGGGCCGGGCGGTGTCCCGGGTGCCCCGGGTGTCAGTAGGAGCGGAAGTCCGTTTCCCGTCCGCCGGTGGCCGGGAGCTGTCCCAGTTGGGCCGGGCGGTGTCCCGGGTGTCCTAGGTGTACCGGGCGTCCCGGCGCTAACAATCCAATCTATCTTATCTTATCCAACCCATGTTGTCCCGTCTTATTTTATCCCACCCTATCCAATCCACACAACCCAATCCATCAATTCATTTGTTTCTGCGCCTGCGGCGGGCCAATCCAATACATCTTATCTGATCCAATCCATGTATTCCAATTCAACCCATCTTGTCTTATCCAATACATCTTATCCCATCCAATCCAATCCGCCCAACCCAATCCATTGCGGTGGAGGGAGACTCTGATAGAGAGGGAGAGTGAGAGAGAGAGAGAGAGCGAGAGAGAGAGAGAGACAGAGAGAAAGAGAGAGAGATGAGATCAAGGTGACAGGCTGGAGGTCAGACAGGGTGGGCATTTGATCCCAATCCCCCCCTCACCTCCTTATCGCCCGCAGGGCGGTCTCATAGGTATGGTATTTTCCGTGATGCTGTTCACGGTTCGGCTTAGTAAATTATATCGTGTTTTGTTATGGTAGTCTGTTTCGTTATGTTTTGTTGTCGTAGTGTGATATGTCTTGTGGTGCTGTCGCGATATGATATGATATGGTCTGTCAGGGTTTGTTATGTTAGAGAGAGCGTGTTCTACCGCTGCTGGCGGAAAGCCGGGGGTGGTCACTACCGGTTCGAACCCCTCCCCCCCCCCTCCGGAAAACCGGGGGGGGTCACTACCGGTTCGAACCCCTCCCCCCCCCCAGTTCATCATGAAAAGGGGGGGGGGTCACTACCGGTTCGCCTCCCCCCCCCCCTCCCCCCTCGAAAACCGAGGGGGGTCACTACTGGTTCGAACCCCCCCCCCCTCGAAAACCGAGGGGGGGTGCGGACAGTGGTGGGGACGGTGGTGGTGGACAGTGGCGAGGTGACGGCGGGACAGTGGTGGGGACAGTGGGACAGTGGTGGGGACTGTAGTGGTGGGACAGTGGTGAGGACAATGGTGGGAACAGTGGGGACAGTGGACAGTGGTGGGGACGGCGGTGGTGGGGACAGTGATGTGGGGACAGGGGGAGGTGGAAACAGGGGGACAGTGGAGGGTACAGTGTTGGCGAAGACAGTGGTGAAGGCGGTGGCGAGGACGGCGGTGGGACAATGGGACAGAGGTACAGTGGGGACAGTGGTGGGGACAGTAGGGACAGTGGTGGGAACAGTGGGACAGCTTAGTGGGACAGCGGAGGAGTCAGTTTGACAGTGGGGACAGTGGGGATAGTCGGGCAGTGGTCGGGGCCGTGGAGAAAGTTGGGAAAGTGGAACCGTGGTGGGAACAGTGGGACAGTGCGACAGTGGTTGGGGCACTGATGGGGACAGTAGGGACGGTGGTGGAACCAGTGGGGACAGTGGTGGTGAGGACAGTGGTGCTGGGAACAACAGTGGGAGATGTGGCGCGGACGGTGGTAGGGACCGGGAGTCGTTTGCTGGCGTTGAGTGGGGGGTGGGGAGGGTTCGAACCGGTAGTGATCCCCCCCTCCGGTTTTCGAGAGGGGGGGGTTCGAACCGGTAGTGACCCCCTTTCGAGGGGGGGGGGGGGAGGGTATGGGGGAGGGGGGGGGTTTTGCCGGGGGAGGGGAGGGGGGGGGGTGGTTCCAGCAGGAGAGGGGGGGGGGTCGGGGGTGGGGGAACCCCAGGTTCCGGAGAAAGAGGGGGGCAATTGTTCCACAGTAAAGCGGCGGTGGATCACGCTCTCTCTATTATGTTATGATCGGCTCTGGTATGTGATGTTGTGTTATGCAGTCGTATGGTATGCCATGTTCTGCTTCTGATATGGTATGTGATGTTATGTCGGAGGTGAGGGGGCGAGGTCGAAGTGGAACGGAGAGCCCCCTACCGGGAAATCGATTTCGGTTTCGTGTTCGTGCGTGCCGTGCGTGCGGGCGAGGCGAAGCTGCGTGGGCGGGCGAGAGAAAGTCTCCTGTGGCTGAGGCGCGGCCGGACCAAATGATTCCCTTCCGGGCGGCCGGGGCCCCGCGGTGTCCCGCCGGTGTCCCGCTGGTGTCCCGTGTGGCTGAGGCGCGGCCGGACCAATGATTCCCTTCCGGGCGGCCTGGGCCCCGCGGTGTCCCGCCGGTGTCCCGCTGGTGTCCCGAAATGCAAATCGGCATGCAAATCGGCATGCAAATCGAAATGCAACTCGACATGCAAATCGACATGCAAATCGACATGCAAA